AAGATGAAAGTAAAAACTTGACGCTTTAAAATGTGCTCTGACAAACTTTGTCATGAGGTAACAACACTTTGAAAATTTAGCAACTCTTTGCTAAATTTTGCTCAGTTTGGATTGAAAAATTTTCCCTGCAAGATTCTTTTCCTCTTCGATTATTATTAAATTTGTATGCGGAAAGAAACTGTCGATAAAGAAAATAATCCTTTGCAAAGGAAAATTTTATTTACACTTAAAAGTCTTGGTACATTCTTCATTACTAATACTCTAAATTAATACTGATGGTGACAATTATTATTATTATTAATACAGACGATGAAATTTCAGATTAAATTAATTATATAAGATTAGAATAGATTAAATATATATCTTACAATACAATTATTAATACGTTAACGATTTAAAAATTCTTTCTTACAAAATTGCCTGCAAGAGAGCTGCAACTATTATATTTATTAAATCTTCGTACTTTCGAGAAAGATTGTACATCGCTATCGATAAGAATTCAACCGACGAGAAAATACGTAAATCTGTCGCGCTAAAGAGGGGCAAACGAAATCGCGACGGCGTATAGTCACATTTTACCAGGAAGTAAATACTTCCCCCGACCCAACCGGTGGCGCGATGAATCCGAAAGTGAATTTTCGCGAGGGTTGGCGAAAGGTGCGAAATGTAAAACGCGTTTTGCATCGTTAAAAGGGCTCGCGTGTCGCGAGCGCACGCCGGGCCGAGCGGAATCATGTAATTAGAAATCCGCCGGCGGGAAATTCAGGAAAGGCGGAGGCTGAAAAGATGATCAACGGGCCGGAAACGCAGCGACTTGGCGGGCGCAAATTGTTGTTCGTTTCTCGTCAAAGCGAGGGAAGCACCTCGCTTTCAAAGCTACCATCGCGCTTACGAGAGCAGTTTCTAGTAAATACACGCTGCTTGCTTTAATAAAGCTGCGGATCCTTGATCACGAAAACACTCGACCATCTGAATAGGCGAAGCAAGTTGAGGTTGCGCCAATGTTACCCCGGGGTTCAGCCTCTTTAAAGGGTTCGGTTAATTGTTTCCTTCTTCTTCTTCTTCTTCTTCTCTCTTTCTTTCTTAGTTTAGGTCAGAAAATGATGCCAATCTTCTATTTTTATTTAATTACAAGCTGCTGGCGTTGATTGGCGTTGAATTGTCATTAATTCGTCATTTTAAGAAAGAGAAAGAAAGGACATAATAACAGTGATAACGAAACGCTGTCGACAGTTTAAATTGTTCCGATTTTTTTTAAAAGAAAATCACACAACAATAATAATGGCGTTGATCGGCGTTGAATTGTCATTAATTCGTCATTTTAAGAAAGAAAAAGAAAGTACACGGCGAAAGGACATAATAACAGTGATAACGAAACACTGTCGACAGTTTAAATTGTTCCGATTTTTTTTAAAAGAAAATCACACAACAATAATAATGGCGTCGATCGGCGTTGAATTGTCATTAATTCGTCATTTTAAGAAAGAGAAAGAAATCACACGGCGAAAGGACATAATAACAGTGATAATCGAAACACTGTCGACAGTTTAAATTGTTCCGATTTTTTTTAAAAGAAAATCACACATCAATAATAATAGTAATAATACAACGTGCCAGTAGAAAAGAAAAATGACCGCGTAATAATTTAATTTCAACGACGTTTCAACAACGCGCAACAAAAAGTTGGCCTAGCATCTTCCGATTTTTCCTCAGCCAGGATTCGCGACCAGAGGAAAGGGGGACGTCGGTTCGACGTTTTATTCAGTGTTTTATCGGACACGAATTAGCCTTTCTTCGTGCTAATGTCCCCCTCCCTCTCCCCCCTCCCTAAAGAATGGCTGCATTAATGGTTTTTAGCCTCGGTGGCGCGGAATTAACGAGCAAGTGACAGAAAACTTTCGCCACGTTCCCTTTTCGACCGGGCTTTTCCATTCAGTCTTTGCTCGCTTCGATCACGCTTCTTTAACGTTATTGTTCCCGGCTGAATTTTTAATATTAATGGCCGTCATCGGCCGTGTGGTTACTTGGGTAGGGGAAGGGAATGGGGAGGGGGAGGGAGTTAAGAACGATTCGAAACGACTGTGATTTAAAAGGGCCAACGTCAAGACACGGCTCGTGTCACACGAACCGTGCATTAAGGGCGAATTTGAATTTAAGATGACCTCGAGGGCTCTTTGCGAGGCCGATTCTTATTTTTGTCTATGTCTATGTCGGGGGTAGCTCGTTAAGGCGGGCCTCTTTAACGTCATACTCCGATCCTAATGTTTTGCAACGTCGGTGGCTCGTTTCTACTCGACATCGATTCCTTTTTCGTTCGTTTTGTGCTTCTCTTCCCCCTGCCACTTTGCTCGTTCGTCCTCGGTCGGAAGGCAAGTTGTAAGTTCGAAGTAAGAGGAAATTACGGTTCCTTGATTTGAAAGACTTGCCCAATAAATACAAAAATTTGCTTTCTAATGCTAAATTACTTACGAATGTATTCGAGCACTTACGTTTCTAAAGTTTCATTAACATTGCAACAATCGTTATATATTATGTGCAAGTTACACGTATTGTTATACAAAACAGACTCTTTGTCTCGACTTTGAAAATGTATATATAGAGATATAGACAATATTGTTTGATACACACATGCATTTCATAGAGATTCGAAAAGTGTTTAAACAGTCACAATCTATTCTGCCAATAAGCCTCAATGCACACGCATGAATATGATATGATAATGAATATTATAATATATTCACCTAATGAATATTCAGTATATATATATATATATGTATGTATGTTCAATGAAACCTGTAGCACTTGTTCTGCACTTAAAATAGTTATTTATGCTCAATATTAATCTTTTTGCCGATTGATCTTCTGTGCACAATTATTTAGCAAAATTTCGAAATCTATTTTACACAACACATGTTGTTACAATATATAGAGGAAAAAATTCTTTCATCACCAGTTGAGAGGAAATTTTTAGATCGGGTCAGCGTAATGTCCAATCGCGAAAACCAAATAAATAAAAGAGAACTTTCAGCCAAATGGGATTCGTTGGCAGCGTGTCAAATTTTCAAATTGCTCCCCGGCAAAAGACGGAAAATGAGTCTTTTCATCCCTCGGTGGCATTCACGCGAAATAACAGCGACCTTCAGGCGTAATGTGTAATTTCAGTTTTCCCCGAAAAAAGTTTCATGTTAATTCAACAGGAACAAACGTCACGACTATTATTATTCCGTGTTCGCTTAATTGGCAAGAAACTATTGTGGAAATGTAAATTAGTAATTTTCAATGCTCGAACGGTGACGGTGAATAGTGATAGCGAAGTGGTCTATAGCGTCAGTAATATGTTACTTAACAACGTATTAGCGAGCCATTTTCAATTAAATCGAATACGTGGAAATGTTTAACACTTTGGCTCGTGTGGCAACGACACATCGGGTATCCGATTTTAATCTCAGTGAATACAGCGGATCAAAGATGTATTGGCACACCTATTTTTGGCAAAAACAAATTAACACATTAACAGTGTCATTAACAGTATTCCAATAACAATATTTCCAGTTAACAATATTTCCATAAATAGTTTGCTACGTACAAAAGTGATGTGCAATGATATTATATATACAATAATGATACAAATGATATAAAAATTCGAGAATCAAAAACTAGGTGTGTCCATACTCTGTATCGCTGGTAAATTATTCGTATAATTTTTAATTAAACACTGGTCGACCTCGTTTCTTTTAAAATAAAATAAAGGCAGAAAACAAAGTGTTCCTTCTGGAGTAAAATTTTTGAAAACTGTTTGTCTCGTTGTATCTGTAAAAGAATTGCTGTTACGAAAGATGAAGCTGTGGAAAATTCTTTAATCGACGAAATTTGTTGTCGTTCGTATTGTTAATTCGCGTTCAAATCGTACACCCTATTTGTACATACACACCGAGCTAGCATAATTCATATTACAGCATAGCGTAACGCCATTCATCCCATTATGCAAAAGGTGCCCATTGATATTGCGGCCTTATTACCAGCCACGAAGTTGCAATTCACGTATTGAAACTTGAACTGTTGCTTTTTGCAAGGATAATTCTTCTTCTATAACACGTATTATGAAAAACTAACGTGAAATTGTTATTAATATCATTTGATATATGCGCGTATAGTGCGAAATTAGTAATCGTTGATTAATAATTTCTGACTGGTTAATCGAAAATTATAATTCTCTTGAAAACCGTATGCGAAATTTAATCCTTATCGGGAATAGTGGTACGTGTGTATACATATTACATTATGCAATATTGCTTTAACTAGAATAACAGAGATATTGATAATAATTAAATTATGATACTAGATGTACCTCGAATGCTAAGCCCTCTCGAACAAAATCATATAATAACATTTGAACAGTGTAACAAACGTGTTTCGGTTGTGCGATAAATCATTGATATTATAGGAAGCAGTGTTAAAGAATTTTCAAAGACGATTAAAATTCAAAGGGATTTGGGAAAATTTTATATTCGATAATAGATATAGATATGCGATATATCAAGCGAACATCACGACTTAAAAGCCTAATATTCATTCAATAATTAATGTTAGTAATATCATTGAAATGAATAACAACAAAGTTAACATGTAACTATATAAAATGAAAAAGTTAATGGACTCAATGTGGTTTATATTTCGAATTTTAAAAATTTCTCTCCGTAGAATTTCGAATTTCCCGCGAATAGTGTCATTCGCATTAATCTCTCTTGTGCTAAAAAAAAAAAAAAAAAAAAAAAAACAGAGTTAAAAAAAAGGCCTCGGCAAGCGTCACAATATTAATTAATATTAAAACGATAATATTAAAAACGATTGATATTAATTAACGATAGCTTCGGAACGAAAACGCAAGTACAAGTAAATTAGTGATAGTCGGAAATCGATAGTCTATGCGATCCATATGTGAAACGAAGCAGGTGTCGGGGGGAACGAACGATTTATCGAACGATCTCCAATGATTCCAGAGTCAACGAGCGACGTCACGGAAGGTGTTTACGCCGGCGAGCGTGCCCGATTGGTTTACGGGGTGTTCACCACCCCGGTAAACTCGATCGGTGGCTCGGCCGTTTGCGCGTTCTCCATGAAGAACGTCCTCGAAGTCTTCCAGGGTGCGTTCAAGGAACAGGAGACCATAAACAGCAATTGGCTGCGAGTACTTCCGGAGAAGGTGCCGGAGCCTAGGCCCGGTGCATGCGTGAACGACTCCAGGACACTTCCAGACGTGACCGTAAACTTCGTGAAAGCGCACCCACTCATGGACGACGCGGTCCAATCTTTCTTTGCATTACCTGTGATAACCAAAGTCAGCTTCAAGTAAGTGCCAAGCTTCTTCCTTAATTGTTCGAGGCGATTCCCGGACTCGATCCTTGGAATTTTGTCTTTAACCACTTGCGCTGGCAACTGATTGCGCGGACCGTAACGAGTGACCAACGTGACGGGTACGCAACAATTCGCCGCTTTCTTTTTGAACTCGTCGGTATGACATCACTGGATTAGAAATTATCGAGAAGCAATAAATTTATTACTTGATTTGCCTGGGTTATACCTAAATATACTTAAAACTGAGGAAATATTGCAATTTCGGGGCAAAAAGTTCTCGCGAAAACCAGCGCAAGAAGTTAATTTCAGTTTTAAGCCTAGTCCTCCGACTTAATTTTTACTTTGATGATGTTGAAATTGATGCTCGTAGTGGAAAAATAAATTTGGAAATTTTTTTAGAGTAAATTAAATTTTTATTATATTTATATTTTATATTTATATTATTATATTTATATTTTATATAAATTGTGTATAACTCAGATGATGATGTTCAATCTTTGAATCGCGATTTTACGCTTTTTCAATTATTTTATAAACTGTGACACATATTAGAAAGATACGTAAACGTTCGATACTCTAATGTCCATTTATACAAATATCCACAGACGCAATTAAAATTCTACAGAGTCGTTGACAATCCAATTAATAATGTCGTTCTACAGTTAACAATTTTTGTTCGTGAAAAATTGCTTATTATCTAACGAGAACGTACGTCAAGCCCAACGAAAATTTATTTGATCGCGGAATAATAAATAAATAATAAATAATCCGATTCAAAAGCCGATTATTCTATGCGTTTATGTATGTATGTCGTTGGATAAATGCTACGCCTGTGTTAACACGATCTACAATGTTTATTTGAGTTTAAACTTTAGAGGATGTACATTTTATCCGTTTGTTTCGCGGAGTTAATCGATTTGGCAAATGAACGGCTCATTTGTTATTTCGTTTCGTGATTTTCATTCCTTAACAGTTTATCTCGCGCGATAACTTTACTACGCCGGCTCACACGGTCGAACGAATAAACGTCTCTGCAATATAAATGAAAACGATTTTCACTGTACCGCGTTTCGTTCGTCCATATTCGCTGGTTTACGAAAGTCGTTCAAATCAGTTTGATTTTTCGTTCGAGCTGCTGCGATTGAAACTATATTTTTTTCTACGGTTAACGATGTTCCGTTGCGTTAGGTTCACTGATTCCGACGGGGACAGCGCCGCAATTTCAATTTCAACATTGAAACAGTTTGATTGTTTATTAAATATTTTGTTTAACTTCAAGTGGAAAAATGTTCCCCGAAATTTTGTCAACTGATTTAACAGGTTTACAAGCAAAGCGTGGCGTTACCCGCACAAAATTTCATTTTCTCGGGCCAGTTTCTCGTTTTGTTAACAAGATTCTCGGTAAATGATTACTCAACGAGTGTAGTGATAATTAGACTGCGGATTTTTATCCATTTGTAGAGAATTCTAAAGTGCAACGTTGCACGTTAATATGGAAAAATATATAAAATATCCAAATTACAATGATTTTTATATTTGATGGGTGAAACAATTTCCTATCAAGGTTAATATTGTCAAAACTATGAACTTGCATAAAAATTTATTATCGATTAATTTACTATTAATCATTTGTGTCTACAATATTTCGTACATGTGTCGCAGAAATTTGTGAAACTAGTCATTAATGTATAATTTTGTGCTTCTAAATTTCTCTCAAATAAAAATCAACAGTCTAATTATTAATACTTATAACTTATGCATTATATATATTTAGCTGTATGTTTGTTCAATATACACTTTAGCAAGGCGTTTGTTAGCGATAGAAGTCAAAAAGCAAACTAAACGGCAACTAATTTAATGTTTAAATCAAACATTACTTCGTAACAACTATAACAAGCAAGATTGCCAAATAAATGGAATAGCACAAAATAGGAACGAAGCTTGTTCGCGATATTCTCTCGTGCAATCACAGTTTATATAATCTCGTTGTTTCTAAATTATTTGACAATAATAATAATAATTATTATTATTTTAACGATTACTGCGGTTTAAATTCACATGCGATGATAGGTCAATAAATTTCTAAATTTGTAAATTGGTACCTAATGATAGTAACAGTAATAATGATTATAGTGAATAATTAATAATAATTGTTATTAAGTATTAATGTAGAAATTTCGGTAATTTATATCTATCTAAATAATAATTAATGATTTAATTTAAAAAGTATTATTATTATTATTATGGCACGAGGGGTAGCTCAATAATTATTTGCCTCTTTGAATTGTAATTGCTTGAATCCCAATAATTTAATAATTTACGATGATACAATATCACCAATTGTTAATGATTTTTCGTAATGATGTTGAAGGAAAAAATGATATATAATACACATATGGCATGAAGTCGGGAAAAATGACCTGTAGCAATTAATTAAAATTTTTTAAAAATGTATTGGCAAGTCGATCAAAGCTACAAATGATTGAAAATTTTAAATAGTACATGGAAATGTTATATAAGAGAATTTGTCGTTCAATTGTTACAAATAAATTGTTAGAAATGTTGGATAACGTTTAAACAGTCAAAATATTCAGGAATATTATTTTATATATTTATATATTTTATATTTTTATAAAATTATATATTTATATATTTTGTATATTTATAAAATTATATATTTATATATTTTGTATATTTATAAAATTATATATTTATATATTTTTAAAGTTATATATTTATATATTTTATATATTCATAAAATTATATATTTATATATTTTATATATTCATAAAATTAAATATTTATATATTTTATATGTTAATAAAGTTATATATTTTATTTTATATATTTTATATATTTATAAAATATCATAATTATATATTTTATTTTTTAATAATTATTTTTAATAATTATGTATTTTATTTTATATATTTTATATATTTATAAAATATTATAATTATATATTTTATTTTTTAATAATTATTTTTAATAATTATATATTTTATTTTACATATTTTATATATTATAAAAATTCACTAAAATTCTAAAATTTGCCCGATTGAATCGAAATGACACGTTCCAGTTACAGATTTACCAAAGTCGCCGTGGATTCCCAAGTGAAGGCGTTGGACGGCAAGGCCTACGACATCCTGTACGTCGGAACAGGTGAGTTCGTCGCGATTGTACAAAAGCCAAAGCGGCAGACAAAAGCCACCCGGATTTAATTGCAATAATTTCGTAATTAATGTTGCGTAGACGACGGCCGAGTTCTCAAAGCGCTCAATACACGCGCGCCTGACTCCGTGAGCAACGTTAGCCAGGTCATCGTCAGCGACGTTCAAGTACTCAAGTACGGTAAGTAGACCTCGAGAATTTTTAACCGATTATTTTTTCTTCTATTTTTTTCTTTTTTTTTTTTTTTTTTTTTACATCACTCAGCTCAGCGC